AAGAAATCCTATTGTAATCCTCCTCAAAAGGAATCTTATTGTAACCCTCCTCAAAAGGAATCCTTTTGTAATCCCCCACAAAAGGAATCCTATTGTAATCCTCCACAAAAAAGGAATCCTATTGCAATCCTCCTCAAATGGGATCTTATTGTAATGCGCCACGAAATGAATCCGATGGTAATCCTCCACAAGAGAATCCGATTAAAATAAACATTAAAAAATCGAGAGATTCAATTTGCGATCCTTGAAAACTCTTGGTTCCAGGGGACTCGTTTAAAACCCTTACCCCCCCTCCCCCCCCCGGATCCCGACTGCCATTAATTCGCATCCGAATAATTATTTTTTTATCTGTCCCCCCTGGACAAAATTCCATGGATGCCGACCGATGCCACTTGTATATGCCTCGGTACCAGGGAGAATGCCGATGTGACATTGTAGCTTGGTGTAGCCCCTTATGTCTAGCCTGGAGGGCGCGCCGGCCCCCGTTGTAACCTGGTGTAGCCCCGCTTGCGTGGCCCAGAGGGGGGACGGCCTTCATCGTATCCTGGTGTAGCCCCGCAGATTTGGCCCAGAGGGCGGTGCGACCTTCGCTGTAACCTGGTGTAGCCTTGGTGCGGCCTCGAACTGAGCGGCTGGCTGAGCGCCTTTCTGGCCTGGAGGGCGATCCGCCCTTCGTCGTAACCTGGTCTATCCCCTCTCCTGTCCTGTTGCCCAATATTTTCATCACATGTCGCCGGTCTGATGAGGCCATCTTGAGCCAACTTGGACCAGATTGCGCCATCTTGGTGGCCATCTGAAAGCACTTGTGGCCCTCTCGGCACCAGAGGGCGTGCGCAAGGGATGGTCCCCAAGTGCGGTCTCTTTCCACGCCAGGCTCGGGAGTGTCAGGTGTGGCTTGTTCGCAACCCAGACAGGGTGTGCGGTCCACAGGGAGTGGTCCCTGAGCGCAGTCTCTATCCACGCTGGGGTCGCAGGGCGTGGCAGGCGTGGCCTGACGCCAAGAGGGGGTGCGCAGGAATCTGCCCTTGCACGCAGGGCGCCAGGGCGGTCGCGGGGGCGTCTCCAGCGATCCAGTTTGCCCCGCCTCCCTTTTGTTTTCTATAGTCGCACTACAGCGCTGGGGAAAACCATGCTCTAAAATTGCTTTCCCAAAGTAATTGCCAAAACAGTTTTAGCACACTACCAGAAAATAACACCAGAGAGAAACCCAAATCAGGGGATGGTTCGAAACTTTGTGGTATGACATTGAGATTGATTGTAGGATCGATACTGAAATCGAAAGTGGGATCGATAGCGAGGACGATAGTAAGGCCGATCGTGAGATCGACAGTGAAGGCGATTCAGTGAGATCGATGGCGAAACCGATCGTGAGATCGCTAGTGCGATCTGTAGTTTGATCGATTGTGAGATCGGTTGTTCCCCAATCCGTTCTAGCGCTGAAGGGGTCCTGGCGGATCTTGAAAGATTTGGCAAAAGCGGGCGGCCGAATTCGGTATGCCGCCAGGTTCCCGGGTTCCCGTGTCCTGGTTCGGGGCCGATTTCGTTGGGCGGCGGGGTTCCAGGTTTCCGGTTTCCCGGGTTCTTGGTCGATCGGTCCCACCATCGATATCATGACCCACCTCTCTATCGATTTCACTATCGATTCACAATCGATCTGACGATCGATCTCACAATCGATCTAACTGAAGGTCGCACGAACGATCTGACGGTTGAACCCACTTTCGATCTCACTGAATCGACTTCACTGTCGGTCTCACGATCGGCCCTACGAACGTCCCCGCTATCGATCCCACTTTTGATTTCACGATCGATCCCGCAGTCGATCTCAATGTCCATATCATGATTTCCGAAGCATCCACTGATCGCGGCTTTTCTCTGGTATGAGCTATAGAAGCCCAGCGCACGTGCGCATACATTATTCACGGCTTTCGGTGGCCCGTATCGCTGCCTTTTTCTGGGAGGACCCAGATGGTGTTGGTGCGCCACGGCGCGTATAGGAACACGCATGCGCTTCTTTCGTATCACATCTTCAGTCGTTCTACTCCTCCCCCGCAGTTTCTCTCCTTGCGCTTGGGTTCCTCTACGCGCTGGAGACTTTGCGGGCGCGAGAAGTCATGAAACCCAGCTTGCGTTTCCAACCGTCGGCGGCAACGAAAAATGAGTAAGAAAGGGTGATAAGGATGAAGGGGAGCAGCAGGATGCGGAGGAAAAAGAGGTGAATCATGATGATGATGATGATGGTGATGGTAAGGACTGGTGACGATGCTGCTGTTGACGAGCCGATAATCATGATAATAATGATGGTGTTGATGATAACCAGAATGATGACGATGATGAGAATGACGACGATAATGGTGGTGGTTATGATGATGATGTTGGTGGTGGTGATCATGATGACGATGGTGATGGTGTTGCTGATGCTGCTGATTATGATGATGTTGTTGATGATGATGATGGAAGATGCTGCTAATGATGCCGATGGTCATCATTGGTCCGAAAGATACCCGTACCTGGGGCCAGCCAAGGTAAGATGGGCCGTCCGGGGGACTGGGCGTTTGCTACTGTGCCCGGTCAGATTGCCCCGCGCGCGCCTGTGCAGCATCCGCGTGTCAAGACGCAACGGCGCGCTCGATGGTTGGGTGTCTAATTGCAGCGACAAGCGCTGGTTTTTGTTAGGGGCGTCTCGGGGCATCGTGGTGCGCGCGCGGCTCAAAGCCGCCCATATGTGGCGGCGCCTGTCCCAATTGATAACAAGATGCGGTTCTTCGCCATCATCCTGGCAACCACTGCGTCTGGGCATGCCCTGAGGAACGACGTTGCAATGTCGGGCCCCCAGGGGCCGCAGCGGCCACCTTGGGGACGGTTCTGGATGGCATGTGATGTGCTCGAGAGCGTTTTGGGCCTGCCGCCACCTCGGCTAGGTACGGGGCCCTGCCTGAAACCACCGAAACATACCCAGACCTAGCCGGGGTGGAGATGCGACACCCGGGCTAGGTATGGGTATGTTTTTGGGTTTTCTGGGGGCCACCGTACCTAGCTGGGGTGATCCGCGGACGGCCGTCCAAGGGGGGCGGCCTCTGGCGACCTCGCCCAGCGCTCAGAGCCGCGATGTTTTTGCATCGATTAATTCGCGATTGGGCGGTTGTCGCGCTGTGACGTTCGCGCCAGAGTTGTTCGCATGCACCCCCGAGTGCGCGTTGATTCCTCAACGCCAGGATATGTGTCTCTGGGGGCGCGCCTCCTGCGCAGCTGGTCTACATCTACAGCAACCAACGCGGGGTCGGCCACTCCGCCGATTCGAGCGCACGCGCGATCGGTGCTAACGTGCGCCTCGAGAAGACAGCGGTCTGCAATGCTCGATCGGCCGTCGCTTCTCACTTGTGCAGCCGCCGTCAGCTGGACCCTTGCCACCCTGTCTAGGTAAGGTTGCGGTTATCTTTCGCTGTCGAGAAGTATTGAATATGACGATGCTGACGATGGTAATGGTGAAAATACTGAGCATTTCTCTGATGCTGCTGATGATGACAATGATGATGACCAGGTTGATTGATGTATTGATGCTGCTGCTGCCGATGATGTCTATTAGTAGTGGCCGTCATGGTGACGACCACGATGATGATGCGGATGATGCTGCGGATGACGACGACGATGATGCATATGATGATGATGTTGCTAACAATGATGATGATGATGATGTTGGTGGTGATGATGATGCCGATCATGCTGGTCATGCTGACCAGGTGGATGCATACTATGACGACGGCGGTGACGATGCCGAGGATGATGATGAGGATGATTTTGATGATGTTGATGATGATGTTGATGTTGGCGATGCGAGTGATGATGAACATGATGATGGTGATGATGATGATGCGAATTATGATGATGATGGCGATGATGATGATGATGAGGAGGAGGATAATGATGATTATGATGATATGCTGGCGGATGGTGATGTTGTTACCGATGGAGGAGATATGAGATGATGGAGAGAGGAGAGATGAGATGAGGAGAGGAGAAATGATGGATATATGATACCGAGAGAGAGAGAGAGAGAGAGAGAGAGAGAGAGAGAGAGAGAGAGAGAGAGAGAGAGAGAGAGAGAGAGAGAGAGAGAGAGAAAGACCAGGAGGAGGGGGAAGATGAGGAGGAGGTGGCGGGGATGGCAGAGGATGGGGTCGAGGCGGACCGCGAAAACGGGGAGGAAGAGTTGAAGAGCGTGGATGAACGCGACGAGCAGAGAGAGAGAGAGAGAGAGAGAGAGAGTGAGAGTGAGAGGGAGAGAGGGAGACGATGGTCCCGCCTATCTGTTAATACTTCCTCTTGTTCCTCTCCCTCAGCCCTGTCTGGTCTTGTCTGGTCCCGTGTGGTCTGCTCTTGCCGGGTCCTGTGTGGTCTTTCTTGCCTGGTGTCTATCCTGGTCGGCCCATGTGTACTCCCCCCCTCCTCCCCCTCCTCGTTCCTTCTCCCTCCTTCTCCCCTTCCCCCCTCCCCCCTCCTGCTCCTCTCCCCTTGTTCTCGTCCCCTTGTTCTCGTCCTCCTCCCTTATCCCTCCTGCGTCTCCTGCTACCCCCCCACCCTCCTTCTCCTACCTTGCATGTACGGTCGTCTCCTTCTCCTACCTTTTCCCTCCTTCCCCCTTCCCTCATCTTCCCTCCTGGGCGTGGACTGGTGGGGTGTGGAAAGCTCTGCGGGACATGTTCTTGCCTCAGGTCGCCAGCAGGGCTGGAGCGGACCTCTTTCCACGCGCTCCACCTTTTCCTGCTCCTGTTTGTCCTCCTGCTCCTTTGCCCCTTCTCCCTCCCCCCTGCTTCTACCTCTCCTCGTCATCATCATCATCCTCATCATCCTCATCATCATCATCATCATCATCATCATCATCATCATCATCATCATCAGCATCATCATCAGCATCATCCTCATCATCCTCATCACCCTTCGCTCCCGCTCCCCCTACCCGTCCGGCTCGTCCCCCTCGGTTGCGATTGCCCGCTGTGCAGGAACCTAGAGCAGGTGTTCGGCCCGAACACGTGGATGTGGTGGCTGCCCATGCACACGCAGGCCCGGCTGCAAACTTGGCATTTGTTCTTCCTCATGGGTCGTTCTGTCTCCCTCCGTCTTGGAGACGAGGATTGGAGGAGCAGGAGGAGGAAGAGGGACAAAGAGGATCAGGCTATGGTCCAACATGCTGACGTTGATGCTTGGCGGCTGCTTCCAAGGACCACTTACCACGCTGCTGCTGGGGCTGTCGGGCTTCTCTGTATAGCTGAGCCTCTCGGTGCTGGAGGATGAGGGAGGAGGATCAGGAGGGGAAACACACACAGACACACACATGAGCTTCGATTTCCAGGTAAGCATGGATAACATGGGAAGTGGAGGGGGAGACGACCATCCAGAATGCATGGAACATATGGGGAGTCCTGGGATTCGTGTCCTTGTACTTGTGTGTCCCTGGCCCCCTGTTCAGAGGAGGAGGCAGAGGGCAGGGAGCATGCTCGGATCACCTAATGCGCCGTGTGGGCGCTCCTCCCCCCTCCTCCTCCTCGGCACCCCTCGGGCCCGTCGTGTTCTGCGTGGCGGCCGTTCCCCCGGCCCTCCTCCGCCCCCCTCGCGCGCCCGTGGGACCCGTGTGCGCAGATCCTTCCTCTCTCTCCAGACCCGCCTCTGTGGGCCAGATGCGGGAGGAGTAGTGCGAGTGATGCCTTCCGAGATCGCCAAGTGCACTTTCTGCAGGAGTGTCGGTTGGCTTCGAGAGCCATTGCACAACCAACTCGTCGAAGGCCTTGTCTTCCCGAATCGTCGAGGAGGCGCCCTTCTCGAAGGGAGCAGTGCATGTGTTGCTTTCCAAGATTGCCAAGTTCTCTCCACACCCCTCGCGGATATCGACGCATGGCCCAGCGTCGCCAGAAGTTCCAGACTTCCACGGGCGCATCCTGAGCCAAGCGTATCATGGCACTGCTTTCGTCCTGCTGGAGGCAGGCCAATCCTCAAACCTCAGCACTAGACCTTCTCTCTTTCTTCCCTTACTCGCCACCCCTCTCTGTGCCCTGCTCCCTCTTCGCCCTCCCTCCTGGTCGGAGGCGTCGCGGCCGACCGGCGACGGCGTGCGGTGGCGAATGCACTACACGCAGGTCATCGACGAGGACGAGTGAGTCCATCGCGCAGCTGTCCTCCGCCACCCTCGAGGAGGAGGAGGAGGAGGAGGAAGAGGAGGAGGAGGAGGAGGAAGAGGAGGGGGATGGAGGAGAAGGAGGGGGATGGAGGATAACCAAGACAGCAGGGGAGGACCAGCAACAGGGCAACGTTTTCGAACCCTGCAAAGGGCTCGCGGCGATGCCGAAATTCTAGGGGGCTCGTCTATCCCGAGATGAATTGTGTGGTATCGCGCACTTGGTTGCGGGCCTTATCGTAACCAGCACAGGACCAGGCGCGACTGAAACTGGGCAGAATTAACGCAGGTCGTAGTCATACGCCTTGAAGCCCACTGGACGGATTCTGCAGATCAGTAGCCTTCGAGTGCAAAGAACGTCCTCTCGCACCGCGGGATGGTGATAGTGATGGGGATGGTGATGAAAACGACGGTTATGACGATGCTGTGTTGTTACTGGTGGGGCTGATGATGATGATGATGATGATGATGATGATGGTGGTGATGGTGATGATGAAGACGATGGTGATGCTGCTGCTGATGATGATGGTAGCACTGCTGCTTCTGATGATGACGATGATGATGATGTGGTTGATGATTATTGGCATAACGATAATGATGGTGGTGATGATCGTGACGGTGCTGCCGATTATTATGATGGTGATGATGATGCTGATGACGGTGACGATGCGATGACGATGGCGACGACGGCGACGATGATGACGTTGTTGATGGTGATGTTGATGCGGATGCTGATGTTGCTGCTGCTGGTGACGATGATGATGTCGATGCTGATGATGATGCTGATGCTGCTGATTATGGTGACGATGCTGATGATGATGCTGATGTTGATGTCGATGCTGATACTGTCGATGATGAGGATGATGAGGATGAGGAGGAGGAAAATGATGATGGTGATGATGATGATGATGATGATGCTGATGATGATGATGATGATGATGATGATGATACTGATGGTGGTGATGATGCTGCTGATGATGCTGATGCTGATGCTGAAGCTGGTGATCATGATGATGATGATGCTGATGATGCTGATGATGATGCTGAAGCTGATGCTGATGATGATGATACTGACGACGATTACGATGTTTAATTCTGATGCTGAAACTGATAATGGTGATGACGATGATCATGATGATGATTATCATGTTATGCTGCTGGTACTGCTGATGATGATACTGGTGATGATGCTGATGATGATGACGATGGTGATGACGATGATGATGATGCTGATGGTGTTGCTGCTGCTGCTGTCGATGATGATGATGCTGATGATGATGATGATGATGATGATGATGATGATGGGGATCGGGATCGGGATCGGGATCGGGCTCGTGGAGTTCGCGTGTCAACTCGACCGAGGCGTGTGAAACCCTGTATCGTGCTACGCATAGAACTCTGAGTGGCGTGACTTTGTGAGACGTCGACCTTCTGTGGCGACCCCTGCGCTCGGGCAGGGCCGCACTGCCCCATTAGGGGCAACCCCCCCTCGAGGCACGCAGCCGTGGGGGCGCCCCCTGGGGACCGATGAATTACACCTAGCCTCGGGCATCCCCTCATAAAGGCGAGAAGCCCGTAGCCCCACCACCCCGCTCCCGCAACCCAACAGCACGGAGCCACAAGGGCCAGAAGCCGCACTGCTAGGTCGGTGGGAGGGGAGCAGCAGAGTTACGTACCTCAGGGGGGGCCCGAGAGACGTATACACAGGACGGGGACCGCTGTAAAAAACCCCACGAGAGAAAATTATCTTCCCTGGGAATGCCCACGGCCTCCTCCTCTCCTTCCACCTCCTCCTCGTCCGCGTCCCCTGGGCGTCGGCCTTAAAAGAACCGTGGGGACGGGCGGAAGAGAGGGGCCGTAGGCCGTAGGGAATGGGAGAGGGGTGGGCGCAGTCCTATCTCGTAGCACATCGGGCGGTACGCGTCCTCGCGCGATCAGCTCACGAAGGCGGGCACTCTCATGGAGCGCTGATGGCGGCCGTACTTCAGAAGGTTGAAATAGCACAGGTGGAGGCCGTACTTCCGAAGGTTGACTGTGCACACCATCAGCAGTAGTCGCGTTCACTTCTTCAACTGATTCAGCAGCTTTGCCGCATCTCTCTCCAGTGGGCCGCGGGGTGGAGGGCCTATCAGGCGCTCGCCCTTCATGTCCAGGATGGCCGAGCGCAACATCGGAATCAGCTTGCGGCCGAGCACGTGGTCTGAGTCGATCGCCACGATGAGACGGCCTTTCTTCTCGAGGGCCTGCTGCTCGCCCTTGTCGCGCTTCCACTGCCAGTGAAGTACCATTTCTCCGACGGCGTGGATGGTCATCTTCTGCACGTACTCTAGATAGAAGTTCTTGAGCTCCTTGCCCCACGGTGTGTCCTGTGTGGCCAACCACATCAGCCCTGATATGAATATGTGTAGATGCGGGGGGGCGCGACTTTTGAAGTCCACGTTCTCGCCTTTCTTGCGTTTCTCTGCCAGATCTTGAGAAATCTCTTGGTACCGTCGGCCTGCAATCTCCATCTCGTCTGCGAAGCCTCCATCTGTGAAGAAGAGCGCCCACGTCGTGTATACCGTCGCCGTCAGCTCCGCGATGGCCCTGCTGTCCGCCAGCACAGACGTGTGATGAGGATGACCAGCTTCGCGATGACCTCGCTGTCGCCTTTGCCTGCCTGCAGCGCCGCCCGCGCCTCGGTCTTGGCCTTCTTCACGTCTGGTGGTCCCCCAGCAGGTGGGGGTGTCTGTAGCCAAGCGGGGGCCTCCACGTCGGCCATATACTCCAAGTATGTCAGTAGCGACGGTACGGCTCACAGGAGCTGGTGGCACCACTTCTCGAGGAAGATGGCTACGGAGGTGGACGCAGAGATCGTCCAAGTCGGCAGCTCGATAGTGGCATAGAACACAGTTTAGCAAGAGAACGGGCTGGACGGGGAGGAGCGTGAGTGTACCTCTGTTCGGGCATTGACCTTTAAGGATAGCGCGTTGAAGATGTTTGTACGCATTCCCCTGGCACCCAAACGTCTGTCGGCACACGATACACGTATTTGTTGGTGTGAGGACCGAACTAAGATTTCGAACCAGGTGGATCGTGCGCATGTGGTTTAGGAGATCCCGACGGGTACTGAATTTGCTACCACATATTTTGTTCTCTCCCATCTCAGTCTCGAGCAGCCAGTCGCACGTCCAGTCCTTCTGGGCCTCAGCGGGTGGAGGCACAGCGTCAGGCACCGTCTGCATGTGAGCCGGTGGAACAGCATGCGACAGAGCACGAGCTCGGATCTCCGTGAAGTCTAGCTGGGAGAGCTCTTCAAAAACGTCCTTGTCGGTCAGCCGCCCAGTGTTAGCACTGATGTAGCTACACACTTCCTGCCCCCCGTCCATGTCCTCGGCGGCCCTCTGGAAGTCCCTCTGGAGCCTGTGGAGCCATGGGGAAGCTGCAGTAGAAGGTACATCCCCTGCTAGGTGCCCACCTCTATCTCCAGGAACCTCGGGAAACCCAAAAAGTAGGCAAAGTTCCTGGGAGTGCCTCTTGGGGTCCTTGGCCCATCCTGCGTACCAATGTAGACGACGAATGATAAGTTCCGTCTCCGACGACGCGATCCTCCAGTAGGCCAATATCTCTTTCGTCGACATCGATCGTACTTCGTCCTCGTGGCAAGTCGTAGCTCGTCCCTGCATCGCCCGTCGGCCGAGTCGTGCAATCTGACTGTCTAGCCTACCGTAGTGTACTGGACCCAGGAGCAGGGGTTCGAGGCCCGAAAGGGCTGTATTCTGCACAACATTGATGAACAGAGTCCGTATCCACCGATACGGGAGTGAAAGAGACCATACTCTACCCAATGAGTAAAAAGAGTCTGCGCTCGCTGCGCAGCGTCGGCCAACCTCGACCTCGACTGACTGGTTAATACTCAGCATCGGCCCGAGGTAGCGCACTGTGTCCTTAAAGTTGCCTGGCACAAACTCTGGATGGGATCTCGCCCACCTTTTACAGGTTGCGGCCCCTGTCCCGTGAAAATACATCTGGAGTTCCTGCTTTGATGGGTTCCGAGCATACCCCACCACCCCCAGCTTCTGATCAAGATCGTCGTCGAAATCCCTCAGCGTGTCCAGGAAGTCTTTTAGGGGAATCGGAACGGGAACCAGATGTGCCTGAAAAACGTCGTCGGCGTAAGTACATCCCCCCCACATTAGCTCTCAGGTCCCTCCATCTTGCCTTTAACTTAGTAGCCGTAGTGTCTAGAGTCTGCAGGGCGTACTTCCATTTCGTTAGTGGTCGTGCGAACGTACCCCGAAATAGTTGGACCACGAACGGGTCCCCCATGAGCCCCCCTTCTCCCGTCTTCAGAGTGACCTCGCCCTCCAGAGTCTCAAGAGTGATCGTGCTGAGCTTGAAACGTTGAATACAGAGATCTATATTCTCGGGCTGTGCGTACATGCGCATGGCCCCCTCCAACTCCTCCCACCGTCCGCAAGCGAACGCGTTGCTCAGATCCTTGTAACTCACAGCCGAAGCAGCAGCCTGCCTTGCGAAGCCGCCAGCCTAGTAGCTGGTTCACGAAAATGGCATCCTCGCGCCTCTTGCCTGGGATGGAGCCGTGCTCGAAAATCTTATGAGGCACGTGCAGCACGTCATGATATAAGGCTTTTCCCAGGGCGCTCATCACGTGCACAGTTCGACGACCCTTGGGACCAGGTGTCGCATTCTTCCGAAGCTGAGCGCCCTGGGAGTGATGCCATGCCATGGGTGCCCTGTTTGTCGAACGAATCTGCCGAAAGGCTGCTTCCATTAATTTTTTGAAACATTCCATGTCTGGCAGTGAGAGATCAAACCCGACTCCGTAACCGTCCTGCTTGATGTTGCGCTCTGTGTCCAGGCACATCAACCAGAGCTCCGTCGGCGCCGTACCACGTGGTACTGCTCGCCGTTTTTGTGCTCGCCGAAAGAAACGTGTGACTCGCCATGCATCCTTCTGTGCCAACTCACAGTCGTCGACAC